TGATCCTAGGTAGCTTTGATTCTGATTTGTGTCTCTGTGAGAGTGAATCTGTGGGAAGCGGCTGTGTAAAATCTTTGTACATGACAGGAAAATCCTGATGACTTACTGTTAACCAGAGACAAAACTGATGGTACACTGCTTAGCCCAAGAAGACTTAATATGTTGATGTGGTTCTCTCCATCATGTTGCTTTTGCTCTTCCCTCTCCCTTCCTTCCCTGTATTTCTATGGAAATAATTATGGCTTGTTGATTTTTGGTGCCTGAGAAAATATCAATTGAAGCTTTTCCTTTGGCTGGGGCATTTTAAGGCTGTGCTTCGTACAGATTCTCCAGTGTCTAATAAGATGTGCTATAATGCTGCAGTTTTTCTCTTAGTGAGAAATTAATAGGGTCTCTCCTATCCTACTGCCTCTTTTCATTAAACATGTAGGAACAAAGCAATCATTGGATTTCCTGCCACGCTAACAAGTGGGACAGGCATCGACAAATGGCTAATGAAGTGGGGAAAGTATAGAGAAGCAATGGCTTTGGTTCTAGAGCAAGTCTCTTTCCTCCTAGCCATCATAATTCCAGAGGGATGCAAGAACATCCTAAAAAAGAAATCATTGAAGAAGAGACTGAGAAAATAATACAAATACTATCTTGTTCTATAGATCATGGTTCTTAACGATTCAATGGGTCCACCTAGAGTAGTATTTTTGTTCCCTTCAAAGGGACACCGCTTGGCAGTCTTAAAGTACATGAATTGAATTACTCTCAGCAGAAAGTAAGCCAAGAGATGTGCTTCAGGAGTGCACCTAATGCTTTTCAGAGGATAATGGGAGTTCAGTCCGGGGCACCAGCCTGGAGTTACTTCATGGTAAAACCCTTGCAACATGTCTGGATGTGGTCATCAGGTGCACAGCAGCAGCTGTTTTGCTCCCCAGATCTGCTCCTATTATACCACACGCCTTCCAAATGCAGAGATGGCCGGTGTATTCCAGGGATCAGGAATCATCAGTCTCCACTAGACTTCCTTACCACTGCTCATGACATGCTATTTTTCCCCAGTATGCCAAGGATCTTCAATCATTCCTTGTGTTCAAACCTTCTGTGCATAGCTTCCTTTTAGATATATACCTGACAGATAAACATTTCTTGTGATAGTCCTAATACATTTCTAGAGGGGAAAAAAAAATTTCTTCTCCCCCTCTGGAGCTCAGCACTCAGAGCTTCCCTGCTTTCTTTTCCAAAGCCCCTAACTCTGGGTGTTTTCCAGTCTGGGGTTCTTCCAGACCAGACACAGGTTGACCACCTCATCCTTCGAGTGGTGTTCCTCACTGTGAGGGTATCCATGATCTCCACTCATCTGCATCTAACCTATAAACAGGACCCCTCTCATCCCTAGCTGGTAAGGATCAGACAAGGGGACAGCTGATACACTACATGGACAAGATGGGGGTCTGAGACTTTTTCTAGGGCCAAGGCACCCTGTGAGAAACAGGTTGTTCCTAGTGGTAATTTCGTCACAGTTTTGTTGAGGCAATCTGCCATATCCTCTGTGGAGTGGGCTGTGTCATGTATCATCTCAAGTTCTAAGAGTCATTTTGTATGAAGCAATAGTTGATGTGATATGCAGGCTAATGCACTGTGACAATATTATAGGTAGTTACTGGTTTGGGCTAATCAGAGAATAGACATTTAACTTCTTGTTTGTTATCCATTCATCCACTGATTGCTGTAGATCAACTATAAATTTTGGATCTAGTGATACCTTATAGAGAAAATTAACTCTCTCCCAGCTGAAACCAGGACATGATCACAACATCACTGAGAGTGAATCCAAGGGTACTGCAGAATTTATAATCAATGTCGTCTTTGTTGTTGTTTTTTTCAACTTAGGTATGAAGCTTACACTGTCATCTTCACAAACTGGCCATTGCTTTATGACAATTAGCAAATATTCAGCAAGGAAAGGATATCATTTATTACAGCAGTAATATAATACTAATGTGTTATGTTACTTGTATTGGAGAAGAGCATGAAATGCAAGGTCATTTCTCTTCCAGATAGAAGGATAGTAAAGGCCAAGACTTGAACAGTGTAAATGCAGCCAATGTTTTGTGGCTAAGGTGCAGGGGCTGGCACTTGTCAGAAAAGAAGATGAAGGAAGAGAGAAATCAGGGTTTGATGGTGATTTGCTTTCACATCCAAAGGAGACAGCCTCATCTTTAAAAATCGCAAGAACTTGCATGTTTTCAAAAGTGATTGGTGACTTTTGAAAATGAGTTTATAAGTACTTGCATTCTCAAACCTGGGTGTTTTTCTGGAGTCCATTTTTCAAAGGGCCAGAGGGCAGTGTGTTTTGCAAACAAGGATTCCTTTGGGCTTTTCAGTGTGAATGGCTTGAGCCTGAGGCACCTGCACTCAAGGATTTCCTTAGAAAAATCTTGTCCATAAGTATTAAACTAGATGAGAGTAACAGCAGGAGCAATTGTTTAGATAATGGAAAACTGAATTATGTAAAATTATCATTATTTTACAAGCTGTCTGCAAACCCATTTCACTGCATTCACTTTTAATTTCAAACTGCAGTTGTTTCCAAATGGCAAAACCTTTGAGGTCTGGCGCAGGACGCTTCTGGTCTTAAAGGTCAGGTGTTTCCAAGATGCTGCTGGTTTTATGCATCAGAACATTCTCCTAGAAAGAAGCATTTGGGAACTGTGATCATGGACCAGGGGCTGGTCCCAGGGCAGTCTCATGTATCCCCAAATGCAACACGGTTGGCAGGTGATGAAATCAGAACACAATTTGATTTTACAAAATTTATGGAGTATCCAGACATTTGTCTGTCTGAGAGGCACAGCTGGTCAAGGAAGAAAGGACATTTCTTTTGGTTGATTCCAACACAGCTTGCTCCATGTGGCCGTACTCTCTGCTCAGGTGCTGATAATTACTCTGGAAACCATCAATGTGTTTCTTGTGCAAGAAAGGAACTGTGAGGCTTGGTTCCACCTGATATTGTGGAAACAAATGTCTGCGCAGATTCTGATTTGCTTCAGAGTTGTACCATAAGACAAAATAGTAATAACATAAGGTGTGGATCATGAACCTACGTTTTACTTTCCACTTATGAGCAGTTCAGTCTTTACCTGTGTGTGTGCATGCTCTACTCCACAGAGACTTTTTTACAATATAGGTGTCAACAGCATAATAATGGAGATTTCATTAAATGGCAAATTGCTGTACATTACAATAACCTCATTCAGTTAAAAGTTAATTCCCTTCTGCTTTCCTTGTAAGAGTCATGAAGTAGCAGTTACCCAAGGCTTTTAGCAGGTGAAACAGTAATGGTAATACAACATATTTTTATAAAGCAACTTGCAATATACATAGGGAACTAACGTTCTCCCCTTTGTGAGGTTTATCTTTTTTTGGTAACTTGTTGCAAAGATGTATAAAAAAATGAGAAGAAAACATTTTAGCTGTTATTTGAATTGTATTTCTCTGATTTTTTCCATATTTGCAGGGCCTGATTAACAAAATATCCCACTCACATTGATTTCACTTGAAGGTGTTTGAACTAAGCATTTCTGAAAATTAGATCATGATTCAGTAGAGCAAACAATTTAGGGCTAAACTCCAGGCCTCGATAACCCAGAGCATGATTCTGTTGTGAAGATTGTTTTTGGCAGCAGGAAAGCTAGAAAATCTTTTCATCCATCTCAATATTCACTTACTACAGAAGTTGTCTTCCAGTTCAATACTGACCTTTCAGTTAGGTGAACAGCAGTCTTAACAGTTTTCCGACTATTGCGCACCACAGCAGAGATGTGCTTTTTTTGATTGATGATATTCTAGTAGTATCAGATCTGTTTGAAAAAATGATTCAGTGACCTGTGTCACCAGCTCCAAGTCTGTACTCAATTTAGCTAGTCAAGGAGCAAGCAAGGCCAAGTTATCTAATACCTCTGCTTTTCATTATTATTCTGTAGTAGAGCTTTGCTTTCCCTATGGGGAAATGCTCCCATGCTTGGAAACCATACACATGAATTTCATTGCTCCTGCAACCTAAAATATCACCCTTCTTGTTCTTACCTCAGGTTTGCATGCACACAGTCTCTAAAAGCTTATTGAAACATTACTTACAAATAAAAATAGAGGTTCTTAAAACCAGATCGGCTGCGGTGGCGATCACATGTTTCAAAGCACTTGGTGACAACAATTTTTGATGGTGCCATTCCTGTCTTCCCCAGTATCATTTGTTCCAGTAGCCTGTGCTGTGGCTTACCTTCTGGTTTAGCTCTCTGTAGGATCGTGCTGTGAAGTGGGTTAGGAGATTGATGCAAATAAACAGCCTATTCAGACTTTTTCTTTTTTAAGGTGGGGCAGGGATGAGCAAAAGGTGGAGAGATTTAAGATGTGTCTGAAAACTCTGTTCATGTATCCTTCACCTCACCAGATCCTCACTTCTCAACAGCTGAGGTGTGTCTTACAGCCGAAGTACTACAAATAGCCAGTCAAATGCAAAAAGGACTAATTTCACTTGGAGGGAAGTACTGACTAAACATCTCTCCAGGCTGCCAGTTCAGTTGTACTACATGCAGCTATTTAAAGTTTTTAGAACTTGGGGGGGTGGGGTGTGTGTGGAAATAAGCTATGCACTTACATTTAGATCAACAATCATTACTAGGACATAGTTCATGAGATTTCTTCAGGTCTATTGTCCCTACCATCTGTGAGCCTTGTTTAGGGTGTTTGGATGCCACTATGACATGAATAAATGAAATTCCTGCATTGCCCAAGCCTGATTCTGCAGCATTACATGGTACCTGTAGGGTGCTTTCACCTGCCTGCTTTGAGGCCAGGCTCTTTTTATTTTGCAGGCCTGTGCATTGGAGTCCAAAGACTGTTTCTGTCCTGTGAAACAGAGACTTACAGAGGTCAATAAGCCACTAGCAGCTGTGTGGTGGTGTGGCCTGGCCACCAGCTTCATTTTCTGTGCTCTTTGTTTATTGCAGCTATTCAGCTTTGTCTCCCTGCCCACGGATGTCCTGGAGATAGAAGTTAAAGACAAATTTGCAAAGAGCCGACCGATCATCAAGCGTTTCCTGGGAAAACTCTCTATGCCGGTTCAACGTCTCTTGGAAAGACATGCCATAGGGTAAATTTGCTGCTTATGCTACATTCCGTTGTTTAACAAGTGTGTTGCTGTTTTGAAGTCCCTGGTGATATATCATTATAATTGATATAATGATGTTAAGGGGGAGTTATTAAACTAACAGTTGTCTGATGAATGATCTTGGTCTTAATTAGAATTTATAGGACTACGGGCCCAACTAAGAATTCCCTCTATAACCCTATCCATTGCATTTTGAAAAGTGAGAGCTGTCATTTAAGAAAGAAAATTGTTTTGTGTATCATGGCTGCGAATCTGGAGAGTGCAATATTTTCAATTTGGATGTTATTTTAATGTTACCAACAGGCTGTTTTCGTGTTTCAGGGAATTACCTATGGGCTAAAATCATGCCAGATCTGTTCCTCCTCCCTTTAATTTCTGGACAGTGGAAATACTATAAAATAATATATGTGGCATGATGTAATTAAATCTTTCTGACCCTACCCTGCTGCCAAGGAATAACCAGTTCACTTGAGTTCACCTGCCCTGCCCTGCTTCCCCTTTGCATGAAAGTCCTGGGAAGGTGTATGCTGCCAAAGTAACACAAACCAATTTTAGAAAGATGGATAGTATGCAAAGCCAAAAAGTTGGCTGTAAACTTTAAGGTTCAGACCTTGAGGAGCAGGGAGAGAAAGAGTCATCTACTGAGGAGAGCATAGGCAACGTGGTTCCCAAGAAGGCGTTCTTGAAAACTGGATCTCAATTCAGCAGAACAGCAGGAAGCTGAGCTTGTTGGAAGTGTTTTTGAACAGCTGGTTCAGAAACTGGCTGTGATATTGACAGCTGAATCTACCAGAAGAGACTACACTACCTCCCTGTTTCTCACGTAGGGAAGATAGAGTAGCTTTTTAGAAACCAGATGGAAAAGAACAGCTTGGGGAAGGTGGAGCCCTGTAACTGATATCACTGGCTTCCCTCTGTATGAGATTTGTCATCATCTTCTAATTACATCTTCCTATTTTACTTCCTTATTGTAAACACTGTCTATCTAAGGATATACTTTGCCAAGAGCAGTGCCTCTAACCTGCACCTAGATCTGGCTTAGTTTTAACACCATAGTGGCTTTTAAATCTCAGGCAAGCTCAATGAGAAGTATGCACACAAGTTCAGAAAGATCATACACAATTCTTGAGAACGCCTCATTTATACGAGTTTCTGATGCATGTGAAACTATCCTAGCAAATATATTGGGCCTAACTTGAAGTGAACTATGTTTCTTCAAAAGATGTATAAATATTACTATTTAGTGAACCCTTTACACTCAAAAATGCTTTGCAAACATTGATTCAGCCTCGTTTTGGGCAGCTGGGAAGTTAATCTCTTCTATAGTTTCATTCTGTTCTGAGGGGTGGATGAAGTGTGGCAAAGGGAGGGACCTGCACAAGGACAGAATGGAGTCATTGATCAACCTTGTCAGGAAGGTGTTCTCCTGATATTTCAGCTTCATAGAGGTAAGAGGGGTGGAAATAGATGAAGAGCAGTCATTCAGCCAGTTTGAAAAGAGAAGGTGGTAAGCGGGGACTGGCCTGTACAGGATTTTGAAAGAAAGGACAGGAAAGCTGAATTTTATGCAGATGGTAAAGGAAAGGACATACAGAAATGTGAGGTTCTACAGAAGGGTCAGATCAGCAGGGAAGTGAAGTCTTGTTACAATAGCTGAAGTGGGAGTTGTTTGCTTCCCATGTCAATATTTTCATACCCATACTGCAGAAGTTCCATTCCCACCCTTCTCTCTCTATATATATACATACGTGCTTGTGTATCCCAGAAGCCTGTCTTATTCACTGATTCAGCTGTTCCATTGTAATTGAAGACATTGTCCTCTCCTTCTCTGCCATTTGTTCTCTCGTATGCAAGTCAACATGCCCTCATGGCTGGGTTGAATAGCCTTTGAAAACCATTATGTATTTTTGTAGGACACAGCAGCTTTATCTGTGCAGAGTAGACTTTGGGTAGGTTATCTATTGTGACGATAATTTGTTTTCTTTCAGGGACAGAGTTGTAAGCTACACTCTGGGTCGCAGGCTTCCTACAGATCATGTCAGTGGCCAGCTGCAGTTCCGATTTGAGATAACTTCTTCCATCCATCCAGGTAATTCTCAGTCTTAACCCATCATTTATCTAGATCTTGGGTTTTTTGCATTGCATTTCCTCCTCAGAAATTTGAATTCATTCCTGGCTGCTCTGGGACTTTAGGTACAGTCATGAGCAAAGGAAAGCGTATAAAGTCCCACTTCACAGGATGCATCGTGAGTCACACCACCTTCCCTGTTTCCCCTTAGCTTAGAGATACTGGTGTCTCGTATCCCTCTGTTCTTGGCTGCTTCAAATACTCTGCCATGTCACTGGGAGAGAAGAGGGTGGAAAACTGAAGTCTCATCTGCTTCTCTGTCACCTGTCCTGGGGAAGCGCTAGATGGGCTGTTATTTGTAGAGTCATCTGCATTTGAGCACTTCATAAATAAAAATGGAGAATGTAATAGTAGAGATGATTAAAAACTTTCTCATTTTGATTATTTTTAATGGAAAAAGTAAAACAAAAAATAATTTGATGTTCCCCTCCTCCCTTCCCTTTTGGTTTGGTTTTGGTTCACATTCTCTTGTAGTTATTAGGAAGTCACTGTCATGATGATATAAGTTTGAACCTTGGTTTTCATGTCAAACTCTCAATAGTGATGCTCAGGGATGTTTTGCCTCTCTATGGTAGTGCTGTCTCAGGTACACTTTGTCAAGCCAACAGCAGCTGCATTAGCGGTTGGAAATCGTGACCTGCCCCTTGCTGGAAAACCCTGACTTCTGTCTTTTGATTATTTGGATGGCGTGAAAGAGCCCAGGTTGTCTGGCATCCAGGAGGAGGTGGTACAGATGAGGATCACATCAAAGGATGTTTTGGGGAAAATTTTCACCTTTCAGTGGTGTGAAAAACATTTTTTTAAGTTCTCTGTTGTGGAGTCCTGTCAGCTTCAGCATGACAAGAAAAACAGCATTAAAACCTCAGGGAAGACTTCCTTGTCATTCCCATGATATTCCTCCAATGCCAGTTTGGCTCAAAGAGGAGTTTCAAGAAGGTGTTTCCTTCAGGTTATATTGCCAGGAGGGCAGTGTGCTACATAACAGATTACCACCATGAGTAAGCCCCATAATTGTTAAATTCACTGTACAAAGACTGCCTAGCAAAAAAGCAGCATTTCTTGGTAGTTGCTTCATTGCCCACTCATTTCACACTGTAATTTATGCTTTTAATTTTCTCAGATTGCTGGGGATGCCTGTGCCCCCACAGCCAAGCTTCTGGTTCAGTCAACACTTCTTGTTAAAGGAGTAAGTAATTTCTTTTCCTGTCTCATACAGATGATGAAGAGGTCTCCATTAGTGCTGATCCTGAGCCAGCTGACCTCCAGGAAAGCCCTGTGAACAACCCCACAGAGGAAAGCCTCGGTGAGCCTCCATGCATCAACACAGTGACCTCAGAAAGTACAGCTCCAGAACAGCTAAATGGATACAGTGTGAACAGTGTCGATAGCCCAGGGGCTGTCAAACCACCTGGGGAAGTCAACCAGAACAGCTTAAATGAAGAGCTAGCAGGAGATGGGGAGGTTGATGCGGTACCAGTTCCTGAGCCCTTGGAATCCATCCCAGGAGAAGTGCTGCCTTCTTTAATCGCTACGGACCTCACGGAGCAGCCGGCTCTGCTGGCTTGCATGTCTCCTCCCGAGACTGAAGTTAGGGAAAATAACAAAGTCAATTCTGGTACTCAGGGAGATGATGGAGTCTTGACCAGCATAGAAACGTTAGATATTGATGAGGTGAGTGCAGATGTGCATGCTGGCAAGGACCTAGAGAAGAGTCAGGATGAAGAAGGGGCTTCAGCCCAGGAGGAGGAAGACAACAAGCTACAATTGAGGACCACAGCAAAGAGGAAAAACAGGCCATGCTCCCTGCCTGTGTCTGAACTTGAGACAGTCATAGCTTCAGCTTGTGGTGAGCCAGAGACCCCTCGCACGCACTACATACGGATCCACAACCTGCTCCACAGCCTGCCCTCGGCACAGATGAGCAGCGATGGGGAAGAAGAGCAAGATGGTGGTAATGGTGGGGAGAATGATGAGGAGTCTACAGTCAAGGAGGCGTTGGAGAAGGAGGTGGTCAGTGAGAGTGAGACAGTGGCAGCAGAGCCTCCTCTTGAAAATGAGGCTGAAGAGAACTTCAGCCAGAGCACAGTGCCTCCTGGAACCTTGGATGAGCAACTTGCAGACTTAAATGATGGGCTTTTGGATGGGGAACACCCCAGGACAGGAAGTGAGAGCGAGTCGAGCTCCAGGCCCAACGGTGACAACGAATGTGAGGCCTGCGACACCTCTTGCTACAGCCCCTCTTGCTACAGCACTTCCTGCTACAGTACCTCCTGCTACAGCACTTCTTGCTACAGCACCTCCTGTTATGACAGTAACAATCGCTTCTCCAGCCATACCCGCTTCTCCTCTGTCGACAGTGCAAAGATTTCTGAGAGCACGGTCTTTTCCTCACAGGATGATGAGGAGGAGGAGAACAGTGCTTTTGAGTCAGTGCCAGATTCAGTACAGAGCCCTGAGCTGGACAGGGAGCAAGTGGATGGCTCCTCCCAGTGGCCAGATGAACTAGTAGCTCATGGTGGGAATCCACAAAGAGCCACAGAAAGTCTAGACACCCCAATAGCAGGTCCAAGCAGCAGAAGAGAAGGTTAGATCCTGAGAATCGATGCACTGAGCAACCTTGATTATCTGGATGTCACAGAAGGCATCAGATAATCGAGGTTTCAGATAGCTTACGGTTTATTTCATACAAATTTGGGGGCTGTGAGCTGGGCCAGGTATATCAGGGAGGGTTGGATGATTGAGCCTGCCCTTAAAAATCCCAGCAAAACTAAATAAATCAGATGGGGATCTGTATATATGGATTTCTGTAGATATACATGCATAAAATCAGGATTAGCTACTGTAGTTATGTGGCAGATCAGCATTATCACTTCCACCAACTCATTCCTTATTTCCTGGGATTGTTCCATTTCATGTATCTGATGTGCTGCCATGTCTCTGATAGTCAGAGAGAGGACCAGCTTGTGCTTGTCAAGGGACAGATATGCTGATTTATGTCAGTTAAAGATCTGGGCTAGTGTCTGTATATGATTGGTAGCCACATACAGTCATAAGCATGGAGAAATGCAAATATTTGTCTCTTATGAATGCAGTTTTCTAGCCCTCTTTTTTCCAGTTCCCCAAATATCAAACAAATTTACCTCAGATTTCACAGACCGTAGGGCAACTCAACAGAGATTTTGGTTTTCATAGATGCTTTGAAAATGGAACTATATTGAAAAAATTCTAATCTTCTTAGCCTTCTCTAGACATAAAGCATACTTAAGAAAGTAATTTTTTGTCTTTCTAATTTAGATATGTTTTTTCCCCAATCCCTCTAAACCATTACATTGAATGCCTCCCTTTGGTAACTCATTTTATGTTGTGTGGAGTTACAGAAGGGTGGGTTTGGTCACTCATCTTTTCTTCAGCTGGTGTATCATTTTTCTCCAGCTGAAGAAATAAAGGCCTCAGTACCAGCTAAAGGAGTATGCAGCTAGGTCAAGAGGTAGTCTTTGCATTCTCAAATCCTGAACCATCTGTCTCCCACTAGAAGTGACACCAAATTAAAATGGCACCAAAAGGATAACATATTTGGGGATCACAGTGAAACCTCAACCAAAGCATCCTTCTACCCTTTCCTTCTCCATTCCCAATTTATTTGCTCCCACCTTCCCCTGCCACAGACACTGCCCCAGCAGAAAGAAAGATGTAAGGGTGGCCTTACATGCTAGACTGTGTAAAGACTTTCTAGACAGCTGGGCCTAGGCGATTACTCACTCTGCAGAGCAGAATCTAGCCCAAAGAATTAAATTCTCAGAAGTACACAGAGGTATAGAAACCCACAGTTTCCTTCCTTGCAGGCAAGGGTCTTTGCGCATGGACAGCGTTTATATGCAAGTGTACCTAAGGGGGCATGAGCATGTGTGCGTGTGAGACTGTGCTTACACATTTGATGGTTATTTTGGATTATGTGTACTTTTGAGAGGCGATGAGGGAGAGTGTCTTTGCATACAGATTCAGTACAGCTCCAAGATTGTGCCTGTATAAAGGGCGCTGCAGTATTTACGATGGCTTTGCTTTGATTAGCTGAAAGAGAGTATGCCCAAAGGGCAGCCTGGCTCTTAGCACTCTTTTGATATCACTGAGGGTGCTTCGGTAAATGTGCACATTGCTTTGTGATTTGGCAGCTGTTACAAATACAGTAGATGTGGTCACCTCCATGCACTCCAGGTGACCGATACTACCATGCTTCCACTGGCTTGGCGTAACTATCTTGACTAGGGGAGAGTCAATTATGGTAAGTAAAGATGGATGATCTGGTAGTTGGTACTACAACAGCTGTAGTAACAGCACGGTTTTTAAGGCTGTGAGAGATGGACTTTTAGCACTGAGTAATAACTTACATAACTCTGCTGTCTGTCTAAAACATGCAGCAGATGCACTGTGAGATACGCCTATACACAAGTGGTTTAATGAAGACATTAAACAGGCCATACGGTATCATCAGAGCACCTAGAAGAGGGAGTATTTTTGTCTAAGCAATTTTTCTCACTTCTGAATGGTGTGAAATTTTTTTGCAGTTTTATACAAAATTGGCTTCTGCCTTCTAGCTGTTGGTTGTTTAAAGAAAAAACATATTTTTTGATAATTTTTTTTTTTACATTTGATAACTCTATGTTTGAATTTTTTACAAAATGTTCATTCTTAGGCTATTAAGATTCTGACGTTAAAGACAGTTAAACCAGCCAGCACGCAGTCAGTTTGGCTTAGCTGAATGGTCTGGTTTTTAATTTTGAAATATCTTTGGGTAATTTTCTGGTGATGTTAGAAATGCTAAATATATTTTTTTCCCTAAGCTGCATCTTTCTGATGCATGTGAATGTTATATTTGTGCAACTTAGATTGTATCTGTATTAACAGGCCCACCTAGAGCTGGAGGTTATAGTGAAAAACTGTTACCACACAGCATGAAAACGTGTCCATTAGTAACATAAATAGTCCTGGTTTCTAAGTTTTAAGGACAGACCAAGAAGGGATCTGAATTCTGGAACCTGTGAACTTTTAACGTGCAGGTTCCTTATTCTCACAATTAAGTCTAAGATGAGGAATGCTTTTTCGTTCTTACTACAACTTCTTAGTTTCTTAAAGGATTCTATAAACATTGACTGGATCTTAAGTTACTCATTCCTTTCAACAGGACATGAGTTTGGACATTTGCTTAGGTTTCATTTCTGTCATATTGGATATATAGACGTGTATACAATGTTAGTGTTTAAAAACTTCCTCTGCACTGTCTACTGTGTGTGTCTCTTCTTCTTCTTTCCCTCTTCTGTATCTCAGGTCTTCCTTCTTTATCTCGGATCCTGACTATGTCTCACTCTCTTTTGTCCTCTTCTACTACCTGTCTCCTACCTGTTTCTGGTCCTTCTCTCATTCTCCCTCCTTCCACCCAAGATGGACTCTTTGAATTTTGAAAAATACCTATAGAAGGGGGATTATCTTTTGCTTTGCAGGAACTGCAAAATCCTGCCATTCCAGTCCACTTATACAACCATTGATCTTTTGGAAAAGCAGAGAAAAATCCAAGGCAGCTTTTAGCTTTGTATTCCACCGATGGGATGAATTAAAAGTTGGAACCAGGATTTTGCATGTTCCTTCCAATTTCTGTAGAAGCTTCAGTTTTGTTGTATACGCACAAGTATTTCTCAGAGATCAAGCCTGATTCTTCTCTCGCTTACACTTGTGTGTCTATGAGTCCAGAATCTGGCCCATAATAGTTGAGCGTTGACTCAAACCTGAGATCAAAGCCTTGACTGCATTATTTTAATAATTCTTTGGCATATGAATTTTTATTAAAATAGTGCCTGAAAATAGGAATAACCAGAGCTGCTAGTACATGAGGCTAACCTATGTAAAAAATAATCACTTGTTTTACAGTAGCACATTTTTGAACCACATTGTGAAAGCAGTGAATGACTGTCAATGTCTTGAATATCTTGTCCGTAGGTGATTGTCCTTTACTCCATAATTCTCAGCCAGTCAGCCAGCTTCCTTCTCTGAGGCCTGACCATCATCACTACCCAACTATCGATGAGCCTCTTCCACCAAGTAAGCCTTAGTTTTTTAATTTATTGCATTTTTCAGCTTTTCCTGTTAACTCAAACAGTGTAGAGGTCAGTATGTCTTTCTAAATAACTCCATCTGTTCTGTATATACATTCTCCAGAACCCAAGCAATATGCCCTTTTGTTTCCCTTATTTGATCCTGACTTCAAGTGTTGTCATGTTATTTTGGACAAGTTCCATAACCTCCCTCTGCTTTGGTCTGTCTTCTTCCTTAGCTACTATGAAATGAAAATAGTATTTCCCTGTTTCCAGTCAGTGTGTTTAGACTGGAATGAGGGGGTATCTGTCAGGTGTTCTGGAAGCCTCACTATAAAGCTTTTTGGGTGGTGTATCAGTGAAGTACTCTGTTTTTTCTATAATGTTTGTCTCCAGGTTTTCCACAACCAACTTCAAAGATGGTTCGGGATGGCAGTCCCTGTGGTCTGTCAGCTCTGCTTCCAGGTCCAGCAGGAACCTTTTCACAGTCAGGATGCTTCTGGGATAGACAGTTTCCCAGCACAAGCTGGGAAAAGGCAGCTTGTGTTAGAGTGGTTGTCTTGTACTGTCTTTGGATTTGATAATCAGTGAATTTTATGTTCATTATGGACTGTAATGTTGTCTGCAGATGCATTGGATAAAAATGAGAGGGTCTTAGATAGTGTGATCGATTAGCAGGCTGATAATTTGGGATTCTTACCACAAATCAACTGCTGGAGATGTTTTCACTTGTCTCTGTAGCCTTTCCCTTGTGTATTCCTGGAGGATTACTCTGCTTTTTGCATTGGCGTTAAGTGCCCAGTAGAGCGCACTCTATGCCCTACAACGTGCTGCTGATCGCCCTTCAACTTCAGCACATGATTTAACAACCTAAAATGTGCAGTGCCTCAGAAAAAAACAACCAGATGTATAAACAAAGCACTCCATTTTCTTCAGAGCCCAAGAAGGGAGCACGCTTATTTGGCCTATGGTGCCCTTGACAAATAATTCATCATTTACCAATGATGCTGTCAGTATTCCTTAGGCTGAAAATAGACCCGATGCTAGCATCAGCTGCACAGTAGCGTGAATGATTCAAATGCCTTTACCTCGATGAAGTCTTACTAGAGTCCCACTGTGGTTTGCCAGTGAATGATGAAATGGGAACGGTTACCTCTGTAACAGGCAAATATTTCTCTTCCTCCCACTCTTACCTCAACACTTTGCGAATAGGGCACATTCCCCATTAGATGACTTAATGATAGGACACTGACACCAGCTTAGGTAAACAAAATATACTGTGAATCTGTTCCATATTCTTCTATCGTCAATTTAATAAATTTTTCCTCTTTAATTATCCTCACAAGGCAATATTTGTACTGTAGGTTTTCACAAGTTCTTTCACAACAGGGTTTAAGGACATGAAATGCAATGTACAATGATACAGTACAGAAGTGATATCCTTTTGTAGGGTTTTATTTTAGCATTTGCATATTACATCATTTTTACAATAAAGGCTGACACTGTGGGCTCAAATATATTAATCTTAATAGGAATAGACGGTACTAAGTTAATTTGGGGGGCAAAAAAGTTGAATTGGATAATATCAACTTGGAAGCCTGTTTCTAAAAACTTCAAATGAAATTTTAAGGTAATTTCAAAATGAAAACTATAGCCTTAATCTAGAAAAGTTTCTTCTTCTAGCATTCAGTATCACTATCTCTGCCTTTAATGACTCTTAATCCTAAGATAAATAATTCTTAAATCATGTGAAAGGAGGAAACTTTATATTTTCAGCCTGAGTTAAATGATGAAACCTGGCTTATTTCTCACATGCAGATTAGCTTCTGTCCATAAGTAGAGCTGAAGATAATTTGCCAGTGCTGCAAGTTCAGTGTTGACTGGTTTTACTTTGGTCACAGACAATCTTCTGGACAGTCATCTTTCTCTTTTGAATAGTTTTCTGAATAACTTTGTTTCATCATAACCCCACAACAGTTGGTCTCAAGGAGGAAATGTAATTTCAGACAGTTTTATGTAGGAAAGTAAAGTAGAACAGATTCATTATTTATGTAAGAATGTCATAATGACCAGTCTGAATATTAAGGCCTATACGAGATTGACAGAAGATTTGCAGAGTTTGTACAGCCTCATAATGGTGTTAATAGTCACCCCTTATAACATGTGTGTTTGCTAGTACTGCTGGAAACCCTACAGAAATTAAGACAAGAAAAATACATATCCCCAGTTCAGAATTGCTCTTTGCCAACAGTGTGGCTGAGCTTGGAAAGGGAAGGACAGCGTATTTACTTTGCCCTGCCAGGATTATGGTCCTGCCAGAAAAAGTTGTGTCTTCTGGTATAAACCAGAGGAGTTTCAGAGGCTGCTGTGAAATGTGACTCGGCTGATGGAGCAGGACCACTGGAGAACAGAACCAGTACTGTCCTGTCCCCGGCCTGTGCTCCAGCATGCTCTTACTGTGAAATTAGATGGAGGTTTGTCTCTGTTGTAGTCAGTCTTATTTTGCCTGAAAAACTAACAAAAGACCCTGAGGAGACTTGGCTGCTTTCTAGATCACCTATGCCCCTGAAGTAGCATGAAGGAACTTGAGCTCAGCTCAGAAGCAGAGTTCTGTCTGTCAATTGACCTGTCAGCCTGTTCATCTCTCTGTGCAGGTATCCATCCGTCTGTCCACAAATATGGTATATGCAGCTTCAGTGACTTGTGTCACTTACAGGTTGTCTCTTGGGAAGGCAGAAGGTGCATCTGCCACCTATGTACAACAAAATTATCAGCACCTGCCACCCTCTGACAGCCTTCCCAGGTCACCAAAAGAAGACTTATTCAGCTGATTAGAAATGCTGTTGCAAGGAGCACTACTGCTGCAGGTTTCTCAAAAGCCATGTGACACACAGTTACTAATATTTTAGCATGCCAATGCAAGTGTCAGGCCATGGTTTCAGGTGTATATGCCCATAAAGCAATGACTAAAGCAGCGCTCACAGATAGGTATAGTTCGTGTCTGTACATACTGCTGCTGGATGTCTGATATATCCAATAGAAATAGCATTTCTGAAGTTGTAATCCAGTCTGCATGATCCTGACCTGATATTTTCACTGTGACCTCCAAGCCCTGGACAGGCTTAGTTGCTCCTAGATTTCTAAGTATTATGCTTAGAAGCTTAGGAACTCCAAGGTCCATTTAATTAGAGAGACACTGCAACATAGCCTCTAGAGCTGGTAGTGCACAGGGCTGGATTATGAGAAGCCCTTCTTTGTGTAATTGGGTAGTATTATTCTTACTAAGTGTCCATCAGCAGGGTTCAGACCAACATGACCAGTTTGTGTCTTTTGTAGGCTGTCTACAGTGTGGATCTACAGCATTGCCTATGAGCTTCTAATTATCCATCAACCTGTGTTATGCTCAACTTATTACATGTATACTACAACAGTGTGGGGTGAGGGCTAGCATTTGTCCTTTGCCAGACAACAATAAGAAAAATGAAGATCTTAGTGATGTTAAGATACATCATGTCACCTTTGATCTGGCCAAGATTATTTGCTTGAGGATATTGCAGATAATGCATAGCTCCAGAAGGACCATTCCCCACCCATGGTGGTACACCTGCCACCAGTGACAGTGTGCTCAGCAAGGCTCTGGCCTTTGGTCTGCCTTATATGTCAGTCTGTTTTCCTTCAATGTGTATCTGTTGTACTTGATGTGCTGTTTTTCACTGCCTTATGTTTTAGGTGTTGTTTTTACAAAGCTATGATCTTGCTCTTGAAACAGTTACAACATCCTTGGGAAGCTTTACCTGGTGGGAGGAAGAGAGAGTTCTCTCCATAAAATTATATAGTGATGTTCACAGTGAGAGACACTGCGTGTGTACCTGTGGTGTGACTATAGGTTTTGAATCTGTGAGGACTGAGGTACTTATAGTCAGTTTTGAAAGAAATAATGCATGTACGTATGGCTCTTGTTGTTTTGGAGTCTTACAGAAAATTCCTCCGAGGACTCCCAGTGCCCATCTTTGAAGGTTTGTGGGATTAACATGTCAGGGGCAGCCAGCCATAGACTAAGACAGCCTATACTTGTCTGGGACCAGCCCAGGTATGGGAACTGAGTTTAGCCAGGGCTAGCATTCAGGGAGTGGGAAATGGCCGTGAAGAAGAGGTTTCCAGACACAGCAGGAAGAGGTACAACTTCAGTCCTACTCTTAGAGAGTAGGAGATAAAATACATAAAGTATGAAATCCAGCTGGTCCTGAATTTGATCATAGAAAGCCATAGAAGAAGGAATGGACTCATCAGGGAGCAGGGTATCATAGTAAGAGAGTGGGAATAAGAAGAAGTGTTTGCCCCCAAAGGTAATCACCATATGTGGATTTGTGTGTGAATGTGAGTGAGGTTTGTATATAAACACATGTAGAAAGTATGTGCATATATTTACATAGGTATGTCATCAGTTGATGGATCATGTAGAAATACGAAGCTAGCAAGTCTAATTTATATCACTACTCCATACATTCCAACCAATTTGATATGTGGCTTTGCTAGACTCATTTCTGAATTTCTCCTGTTCCAAACACTTTTTTTTATCAACACTACCATTTTCCACAAGCCATCATATACCAAATAACTTCGTTTTCAATCATGGGACAACTTAAACTTTAGCAGGAAACAATAATGATGGAAGGCTTGATATTATACTGCAAACTTTCAATCTAGTTGGCATTCATCAGAGCAATAGATTTATGATACTCCTCTGTTTAGAGAGATTTCTAAGCGTATGTCCAACCAGGCTGTGATCAGTTTTCAGGGGAGCATTTAATTGCTGTATGGTATCCTTCGAAGCCACCTTATAAAAAAAGAGAGAAATGAAACGTGCATTCTGAAATATAACAAAAAAGAAAACATGGGATTTGCCACATTAGCTCAGATGTAATCCTCTTCTACTAAGAGTTGGTTCTCTGTGGCTACCCCAACCTGCAGTGAATCCAGCCAACCAGTATTACTAATTGTAAAATTATCCAGCCCTTTAAGAAATGTAGCCACTATGTCACTTGGTTTTCGTAGTCTATGGTGAAGAATTCCATAGGCTACCTATGTGCTGTGTGTGAAGTGCTTATGTATATGCATATACTGCATATACATCTATATCTAGACAAGCACATAGTATATATACACATTTGAATGTATACTTTGAATATATACACATAATATATATTGCACGCATGTAGACACTCTATAGTATTTCTCGTGTGTATATACCTTGTCTGTGTATACGTGTGTGCGTGTATATGTATCTCCCGCATGTAGGTTTTCTGGAAGGCATCACACTGACAGCATCACCCCTTCCTTTTTTTTCCAACCCTAGATTGGGAAGCTCGGATAGACAGCCACGGGAGGGTATTCTACGTTGATCATGTCAACCGAACCACCACGTGGCAGCGCCCCACAGCCGCAGCAACGCCAGATGGGATCCACAGGTCTGGCTCCATCCAGCAAATGGAGCAGCTGAACCGGCGGTGAGCACTTGCACCTATCTTCCCTTGAGATCTGTGCTCCCCTTTTTCCACACTGCCCCAGTGGCCTCCTTCCTTCCCCAGTGCATTGCATTGGCTCCCTAAGGATTTATGTTTCCTCCTTGTCCGAGTGCAACATACATGTTGCTGTCCCTACTGTTGCTGTCTTTCAGCCTGCTGGTGTGCCTGCTGTGGGTGTCCAGTACCCAAACTTGCCCACATGAGAAGCACTGTTGAGTGAAAGATGTTGCAAAATGTTTCAAACAGCAAGAAGGGGTTTTTGGAAAACTTTTTAGAAATTAGTCCCAGAAGACAAGGGAGTGTTCTTCCAAAACACGGGGTCACTTTTGCTATTTAACTGTAAGAGTGATATCGATGCGTCAGCATCTAGTGCTGTGCTGCAGAGGTTTCTGAGCTGTTATTTAAATAGTGTTGCCATATCAGTATGGCATTTCTACTCAAGCTAATTAGGCCTGTTGAAAGGTCTGTCTCTTTTTCCAGGGCAGAGCACTGCTCTAATAGGACTGTACGCATTTCTAGGCATAGACAGATCTGCTTAGTGTTGCATTGGGCCCTGTAAATCTGTCAGTTCATTCTGAGCTGGCTGAGATATCTCTTAACATGGTGCATATTTTCCCTTTGTTTGACTAGTCCACACATAGAATTGTGTATCATTTTCTTCTTATGCTTGCTTTTCGGACTGAATTTAAGATGAAAGAGAAAAAATAAATGATCAAAAATCCTCCTTTTTTACTTCAGAAAATGGTTGTGTTTTTTTCCCCTACTTACTGTAATGATGTGGTTTCTAGAAAAAGACAAGCAAAACTGAAATTATATTCTAATCATAGCATGCAAAGTGCCGCAAAAGTTTTCTTGTCTTTTGTTTCTGTGCTAAAAGAAAGATCTGCAGCTGAGAGAAGGATGCAGAGTTTCAAAGCACTCTTTTCAGAGTGCAAAATAGTTTGGGAGTTACTGTGCGTAAAGAGAACTGGGCCCTGAATGACAACAAATAGAAAGTTAATGTAACTTGTGGAGAGCAAACCAGCCTTCTTAAAGTGGTTGTTTTGCAATGTTTGACACCATCAACGCATTCTTGAAGAATTTCTCCTCTTTTTCATCAGAATTAATTATTTTGGATGGCATTTCATAACGTGTTTTTATGTCTTAGGTGAAAGAACCTGCTCAGTGTTCGTTTTCGTTATAGCTTTCCTCAGAATGTATCAAGCTACCATGTTGATACTAAAAAAAAAAAACCACCTAAAGAAAGTGAATGCTTAACTTAGATTCTTTCAAAGAATTTACATGACTGCACTGCCATTTATCATTTATCTTTAAGAAGGATTTGGGCCATGTCAAAGCTCAGACTATTTGGCTGCCACTTAAGCAAGTTCTCTGCCACAGAAAGCAGAAAGCTCTGTTGTGGACGTAAGCTTTTTGTAAGTGCAGCACAACCAGGAAAGTAATAAGCACTTGTGAGAGTCTGTGTAGGAATTTACCATTGTTAGTTAACACAAGTTAATCATTAAACCAGCTAACTCAGCAGAAACTGAAGGGTAGACACTGGCTTTGTGACCTCCTTGCTTCAAACTTTATTCTTTCATGTTTTAGAATCATGGAATCTCAGAACCACAGAATGGTTTGGGTTGGAAGGGACCTCAAAGACCATCTAGTTCCAACCCCCCTTTAGGGGCAGGGACCCCCTCCACTAGACCAGGTTGCCCAAAGCCTCATCCAACCTGGCCTGGAACACTTCCAGGGATGGGGCATCTACAACCTCTCTTGGCAACCAGTTTTCCTACTATCTAATCTAAACCTACCCTCTTTCAGTTTAAAGCCATTACCCCTTGTCCTATCACTACATGCCCTTGTAAACAGTCCCTCTCCAGCTTTCAAGTTTTCATATAAGCTGTCTGGCTTTCTTAGTTATTATTTGATTGTCACTGGTTTGGGTTGGGAATTGACAATTAATGGAACTGACATTCTTTGAATCACTCTATTATCAGTATTCCGATATCCAGTTACAAAGTGAGAAGTATAGAGGGTTTTCAGCAGTGGGATATCTCTCCTTACCCGAGTCCCGTTGGAGACTAAGCACTTTGCAACTTAATAAACATGAACTGTCATGGCTTCTTGGGACAGAGGAAAAAAGCTGATGATTCTCTACTCTCTGCCAAAGATCTGTGTTGATTCGAGAAGTTGAATATGGAGGTCTCCTATTGTTCCCAAGTTTGGGAACATTTCCTAAGATTCTAGTAAAAGAGATTCATACATAATCTCTCAGCGTTTGTCCAGTGGCAAGTCATTTCTGTATTTTCAACCTGACTGTTATAATTTTTAAAATTATTGTTGTTCTAAAGCTAATTTCAAATATTTCATGTCTCCAGATTTCAGGATTATGAGGAAAACCACTTTTCATAAATGTTTATCATCAGCACTGTGGAGGATTGGGCTTTGTTTTAAGCACTCATTTTAGAAATACTGTTTTATTGTATTTCAAACTTCATAATTTGAAATGTTCTTCAGCTGTCACACCTGAGAATCATTTTAGGTGAGGCAAGAGCAAACATAGACCTTGCTGATAGAATTAGCAGCAGCCTGAACTTTTGCTCTAACCTCAAACAAAATTTGGACTCAAAATCACTTAGCAGGTTAAAAAAACTTGGCGACTTTTCTTTTTAAACCAATCTACTCACTTTTCAGCTTCCTGGTTTCATTTGTGGAAGGGAATGGAAAGACGAAAATATTACAGGGAAGGTTGGTATTTCCAGCCCAGCCAAAACCACAAAGCTTTGGAAATTCAGCTTGAAAAAAAACAGCCCCATAGTTGTGATTGACCCTAGTCCTGCTTTCTTTCTGTGCGCCAAGCTCCCCTATAGCTGTACTAGCCACTTGAGGATACAGGGAATGCAAAACTGGAATCCAGGTGCTGGGCAAACTCCAAAGAGACATCCATACTTCTTATTTTAAAGACTTGCTCATTTTCTACAGCGCTACCTGACTTGTTCACTTGTTAGCAAAGCAGATAACAGCCCTTGTTGTTCAAGCTCTGTTGGAAAGATCCTTTGCAGCATATGTATAGCTAGACTTGTCTTTACGTTAATTTAAAAGGTAATAAGTAACATAAGAAATTATAACCATGATAGTTAAGACAGTCACAGTGTGGTATTTCTAAACCTCCATTTCTTTGACAAATCAGTTTGAAAGGAGACTGAAATTTCCAGAGGCATTCCCATAACTTTTGCACTTTCAGTGTTTTCTCCAATTACTTTGGTATTTTCTGGTATTTTATATAAGGTGATTTTATACTATTGAGACCCAAAAGAAAAGTGTAGCCTTTTGTTGGCATACAGCTAGTGTTACTCTCTAAGGTTTGCCAATAGGGATTTTCTACCATCTAATTAAATTGAAGCTACAAGATTTTTTTATATGTGTGCTTATATCCCTTGATTAGATGAACTACTTACTTTTTTTTTTTTTTTTCCTTTTCTGTTGCATGTGGGTGTTGTAAAACTCCTCCAGTACTGGAATGGAAAGTTCGTTCAATTGCCTGCAGTCAAGTGAATAAAAATGTAAAATGTGGGTCTAAAACAGAGGGTTTAAAACTGCAGAAAATTCACCCTGTTGCAAACCCTGCTATCAGAATTTCCTTGTAAAGATGAATGTTTACTTAAACACAGACCCCCAATTTAGGAAAAAAAACCCCAACTTCTAAATATGCTGTTTATTGAGCTGTCAAAATATACACTAAATGTAGCTTCAAATGACTTTGAATACTGGGGGACACACATAGTACTGAAAAAATTTAGCATAAATCTGTTAAAACTTTAATTATTTTTCTTAATTATCTCCGGCCCTTCTGCCCACGATCGGGTTGCAGTGAGCTACTGGAGATGTTGTCTGTTGAGAGATGTAAAAGCCAAATCCTAGCTGTTTGTCTTTAATCATCCCATGTCACTTTGAGGAACTAACTCCTGACTGACTTCTAATTTGGAATAAAGCGTATATTAACAAATAAAGAGAGAGAAAGTAAGTAAAATTTGTAAGTCAGAACTTGAGGAAAGAAAAAGTGTATGTCAGGAAAATGAGAGACAAACAATGCTGTGGATCGGATTAAAGGCAGGCAGTAAAGCCATCCTGTTTACAGAAATGCAATCCAGAAATAAGGATAAAAAAATTGAGGTGGAATAAAAGTAATTAAAATAATTGAGAGCCTATTTTCTTTCTTCCCTTTTCTTTCTGCTTCTTTCTTTCTCTTTCTCCTTATGCTTTCTTTTTCTTTTCTTTCTCTCTCTGTATATAAAATATATTTTCTTATTTAACATATAAGACATTCATAGCTTGCCAGCAGAACCAGGGAAATACTCATCTCTCATCTTATTCATCTGTCTATGTGAGTGAACAAGTTAACTAGAATTTGTTTTGTGTAGTGTGAATTCAAAACACTCTGGGTTATTCCCACAGCCAGGTATATACTTTGTTCCTGATCTGGTAAAGTATTTAGGATTGGGCTCATCCCTAAGACCATGATCAGTCCCATTGACATCAACTAATGTGGCAATTATTTCCATTATTAGTATGGAAGTGACGTTATAGATTTTTAAGGCATTTGCAGGTTTTTATTCAGAATTTCCTTGTCGTTCTCCTCACTGTTGTTTGCTTATCTCTATATTGTTTCTTCTTCCTTGTTCTGCAACTAGTCACCACCCAAGCTAAATGCCCAGTCCCACTGATTTCCAAAAATGGACATAACACTTGCATCCTCACACTGTTCTCTCAGCTCATGTGTTATATCCTATTCTACTCTTCTGTCGCTGTCACATCAATCAGATTGTAGCTCTTTGAGGTCATACTGCCTACTAGTTTACATTCCATATAGCCTACCAAAATGAAAGTTTTCCCAACTGCTGGCCATGCAGTATTATGGTAAACATTTTGTGAACATTCTTAATAGTCTTTACCTTTTTAGACTTGCGCATGTGGATCCAGTATTGTAATAAGAAAGACTGAAGGATACTCAGTGCATCACAGGATTGATCCTTACTTCACTGGTTATGCTACCATAAGACTAAATGAGAGGGGGTACGGTGATTTACCAGTAGTTTTAGGTTCCAGACGTCCAGATGTTTTAAAGGGAAGCCTAGTAGCAACCTGTACCCATCTAAATTTGACCTTTGAGCCTTCCTTGCTTTGCACCCTCTGTAGCTATTTGTTAGTGCAAAATGCCATATTTGCAGAGTAATGCTTGGCCCAAGTGTGAGTAGCTGCATCAACTGAAGAAGTGTGGTCTTACTCTGTTGTGTGCTGAAGATAGAAGTATTGGAATAATTCAAAAACAGTGCTGATTGTTAAGGTAGAAATCACCAGAAAGCTATTTTGTTAACTAAAGCCTGTTGTTCCTTTCTCTGAACGTATGTAGATACCAAAATATCCAGCGAACTATTGCAACAGAGCGGACTGAAGATGATGCTGTAGTAAATAACAGGGTGGAGAGAGTTCCTACCGGAGGAGGGAGTGACTCTGAGGCAGAGCCTTCCCAGCCAAGCTCAGGTATGGGGAAAAAAGCTATTGAGTGGCATGTTCAGTGCCACTCAGTGATGGCATTCAGTTCTGGGGAAATCTGCATTTCCACAAGAGACTGGAACTTTATTATACTGGGTTGCGAAAGCTAATTAAAAGAGAAGAGGTTTAGACTTGAAGCTACAGGTTTTATAACTGAAGCTACAGGTACAAAGCTAGATACAAAGGGCCTCAGTTCTTTTTTAACAACTACTAAGACAGACAAAGCATATTTACTTTATTAAAGGGCTATTTGAAATTAAAATGGAAAAGGCTCCTGGTTTTTATTCAGCTTAGTAGTTGGAAAAACAGCGCTGCCTTATTTTTGCTGCAGTGTGATTTTGATCTTGGAACATTGCAATTTATTCTCTCTGGGCATGGCTTCTCCACTGCCACATGTGCCTCTGTGGTCACACCTGCAGTGGCCCTGGCATCGAGTATGAAATACTTGTGTTTTTAAAGCTGCAGTTTTGTGATAGCTATGAGCTGATCTAAGTGTGGGCTGCCCCTGAAGGAGGCACAGCTGTCTTTTTGCTCATCACTAATTCATTTGACAGCACCCCATCCCAGAGCAGAGAACTGATCTGTCAGAAAAATAACCTTCTTTCCTGTACTTAATGTTGTTTACAGCCATATTGGTTCTTTCATCTGACTCATTAGATGACCAGACAAGAATGAGTGTCACTGCAAAGGAGGAGAATGTGTACCCAGGACAGGGAGCTCTTCTGCTCTTTTTGGTGGTAGTCATACTCGTATTTTCTAGTTTCTTAAAACATTTGTGAAACCATAGCCTTAGTGTTTCTTTCAGGTAAGAAACACCAGCAATGAGACTAGCGCCCACTATGCAACACGCAAAAATAGCTGCTTTGCTTGAGAACTCGCACCACCAAAATGAACGGCCAGTTCTCTTCCTTTGGATCATTCTTACCTCCACCTAACTTTGTGCTCTATGTTGTCTACTGGAAGTAAATCTGACTTTTTGCTATCCCTCTATAAATAGCATTGGCAAAGGGAAAGAACCAACACACTGTCTGCTTGAATTTTCTTGATGTTCCATGTTGAATAGGAAGAATTACACAGAGAAATAGTGAACTTTTTTTTTTTAAACAAGTTTAGAAAAATACTTACTTTCGCCTGTTTGTTTTCCTGATCCATTAGGTGTTTTTAGCTTGAAAATAGATTTTAACCAAGAATGTTTAATGTTTGATATTCAAAATTTCTTTGCAATCCTTTGTATTGCAATTTATGGGAGCCTTTTACCTACACTGGATCTTAGAGGGACAACCCAGTCCTCTCTCTTTGAAGCTGAAATGGAAATGAGGTACACATTGTATTATTAATATTTAAATTGTAAGTAATGTAGTTATTACTTGTAATACGTATAATTATTTACTATCATAGCCTACATAATAAAACAGTAATTTAATATTAGTTGCTACCAGTAGGCATTCAGGTCAGTTTATTATGTAACATTCGCTTTTTTATTTTAACCCTAAAGAGCTAATGAGCATGATGTATCTCATCTTAAGTTATTAGGAAATGGGTTTTGCTATAGATAATTGCTTTGGTTTTGGGAGGAAAAAGTTAATATTGTATAAAATACCAAGAATTAAAAGATGAGGGGTGATGTAAGCAGGAAGAAAGAAAAAAAAAGTGATAGTTGACAAGAAAAAATGGGGATCTATATTTATCCTGTTGATGATGTCTGCATCCAATTTCCCTGGACTGCAAATACAAGTTGGCTTGTATTTGGAAATGCCAGAACTGCACACTGAAGCCATAATTCCATGGTAGGAAGCATTTTTCTGGTGGCTGTAGAAGGTCAAGGAGTTCCCACCTTTACAGAGTTTACATTCTCAAATGCTTGGTTCTGCTCCTGTGCTTCCTGAATTGATACTGATTAAAAATAATCCCTTTTTGTCTGTTTTTGTGTTCTCTTTATCATACAAGCCCCCAAAACCGTGAACTTGCCAAAAATAATGCAATTATAAATAAGAGTGGCTGAGCAGGAGGCTTCCTTAACCCACCAAATGCTTTCTGCTGGTGAACCCCTCAGGCTGGATTGGGAAATCAGATCTCTCTAAAGTCAGCAGTGGGGTAACCAGGCAGGACCTGGATAACTGTGTTGATCTAAACCATTAGCTGGTAAAACCTGTTGTGGTCACATTGATATTAAGAGACAGCAGTAGATGTGACACAGAATTTTAAACATACAGTACAGAAAAGCATCCAGCTCCTGCCCTGCTACTGTAATCACTGCAGCACTATCCATAAGGAGAACATCTACCAGTTTGCCAGCAGGATTGTCTTGAAAGCACAAAGAAGGTAGGTGCATTGGGCAGGATGGTGACTTTTTTATTCCATCACTTCTGCAGCCATTCAGTAAAGGTTAAATAATCGATTGTGCTTGTCGCTATGTTAATAAGATTTTGCTGCTTTTTTTTTTTTTCCAGAGATTAGGAGAGAAGGTTCCCTTTCTCCTGTGAATTCTCAAAAAATCACCTTGTTGCTGCAGTCTCCAGCTGTGAAGTTCATCACCAATCCTGAGTTCTTCACTGTGCTGCATGCAAACTATGTGAGTAATTATGATTTGTGTTCTCACACTACTGATTTCTGAATCCAAATGCTGCACCCCAGGTCTTCAGGGAGAGCGCACAATGAATTTGAATTGTGTGACATTGATGGGGCTCATTTGTCCTTTCTGATCATGAGGTTGGGGACAGTACAGGCAGGCTGCTCCAAGGAGGCTCTTGCTGGGATTCTGCCTCACACAAGGAATTCCCTCATACAAAGAAGCTCATTAATGTTATCCTTGCAGAATAAGCAGAAACCCTTGATTTTGGCTTGGTTGATTCTGTTGTCTGTTGATGCAAGGAGCAAGACTTTCGAGCAGTGTTCCTCAGAAATCTTACTCAGATACCACAAAGTCTCAAGGAAACAGAGGGGGAAAAAATATTTACTCCTACAGTTTGCACTCCCAGGAAGCACATGGGCAAAAAGCAGTGAAAGAAATACTAAATTGAGTAGCTATTTTGGAAGAACCAAGAATGAAAATGAATTTTCAAAAATTCAAATAACTTTTTTTTGCATTAATGCAATAAATCTGTATGTTTTCTTGCAAACCTGATGTGGAGTGGAAAAAATGTAATGATAGGTCAACCAGGAGGAAGCAGATAGGGAAATCTCACAAGCAGATACAGTCCTAGTTTTCCGTATCTTGAATGTAGTTCAGCTAGGCATTTACACATGACTTCTGAATATTTGTAAAATCATCCGTTTCTGGGTTGGGATGACCTTTCTTTTTGAAAGGAAAAGAAATTAAAACACTTCAGGAGTTGCTTCAGCACAGGTCTGTAGCTAACTACAGACAGTAAATTTTGGCTGTGGTACTTTGCAGGTTGAAGCCAGCTGTCCATCTCCAAGCATCTGCCAGAGATTATTGCCCACGAAATCCTGCAGAGGAAAGGATATATTAACTCATCTGATATTACCTGAACTAGGTTATGGTGTGCACGTAATTTCTTCCATTGACAGGGTGATATATGATGATTCATAGTTGTGAGCAATATCGTTTTCATTTGGCATAGTTGTTTCCAAAATGAGCAACTGATTCCATAGTGGTGTAAGGAAAAGCTCACAAGAGACTGAATCCCAAATTTATTTCTCACTGAAATAAAAAAAGCCAAGAGAGGCCTTCAGTTTGAGCTTATAAAGTTGTCTCTAATATGAGAGCCAGAATAATCTATTGAAACATCTGTCAAACGGTCATACAGATTCTACTTGTACAGAAATAATGGCCCACATAACTTCTGGCTTAACATGGTTGTAATATTTTAACCGCAAGCCCCTATTAAAATTTCAAGCTATTAATTATGCCAATGAAGTTGGGATTGGAAAATATTACCCAACAGTTAGAATTAAAAGGAAAAGTCTCTCCTTTTTCATATATTTTATTTCTGTGGAGTGATAAAACTTTCATTTTTTGTTTCCCTAGTGCAGCTAAGAGACACTCAGACAGTCATTGATCACACATTGGATCAAAATACAACTTCTGTCATGGAGTAGGCTGGGATATTAGCAATTTGTGACCATGAAGCTTTCCTGGGTCATAACCAGGTCATATCTTCAGGGCAGAGATCATATCTCTGTGATTTCATAACATTTACCAATCCTTACTATAATTAGGGACCCTGTGCTGCAGGGAGTATTCTCAGTACTACCACCACGATAAATCCTTACATAATAAAGATAATACTTGTAAATGTTTTATTGCATTATAGGAGTTAAAATGCATCAAAAGCACACAGAAATTGAGAAGTCAAAGCTGTTGAGTCAGATTCTCCGGACAGATTACAGGTGCACACACTGGGGCTTGCTTCACTGCAGACATGATTCCTCCAGTGATCTTTTATTACTCTAGTGAACAATTAAATCATTTGGGTCAACCAGCAGAACCCAAGCACTCATTTTTTCTCTAGTGAAATGCTCAGAAGGGTTGCAGATTTTTGTAAAGTTTCCTACCCTGTCTTGAGAAGCTTTTTCCCTGAAGATCCCAAGAGCAGCCTGTGGATGAGAAAAAGTGTTGTCACCACAAGTGTATTTTGTGATGCTCTATCATTAAATACACTATGGCAACAAATATAGTTCACTTTGGCTCCTATTCTGCAACCAGATCACTGCTAACTCAGATCTGCATCAGGGCACGTTCCTCTAAGAGGTATATTTAATGCCCTTTGTGAGATACGATTACCTGCCTGAGGGCTGGCGTTCTGACATGCTTTGTAGTCATTGTAGAAGCAAATATTCACTTCCAGGAAATGATTCATATCTTCCAAAAATAGACAATTGAAAGTGTCGTTTCTGTCCTGTGGCTATAAAGTGACCATAAATAAGGCAGCGAACTTAGATGTAGATATCTGCACCGCAGTCCTCTTAAGTTCATTAATCCTATCACAAGCATCTTGATTTGAATTATAGCATGAATATGTGTTCACAGCTGTCTCTGCGTCTCTCTGGCATCATCCAGTCACACGAGCAGTGTTTCTGTTGGCCAATGAAAGCAATGAAATAGGCACAACTACATGCATCTTGAGTGTGTGCTGTTTTAGCTGACCATCTATTTAGAGTGCATTAGAAAGGCAGTTTATTACAAGCTAACTCTGCGTAATGTGTGGGGTGTTTCACTTTCCAGATTATATTTCGTAGCTCTAAGTGTTCGTGTAATGTAGTCAATGAAATCAAAACAATGAGATGGAAATGGTTCTTAAGTCTAACAGGAATTGTTTCAGTTCTTTGGGCATATATCCCATGAAATAACCAAATATCTTGTTTTGACATCAGAACTGGTTTTCCTTCTGTTTTCCATCTCATAGAGTGCCTATCGAGTCTTCACTAACAGTACCTGCTTGAAGCATATGATTCTGAAGATCCGTAGAGATGCTCGTAATTTTGAGCGCTATCAGCACAACAGAGACCTGGTCAATTTTATCAACATGTTTGCTGATACCCGACTGGAGCTTCCTCGTGGCTGGGAAATAAAAACTGACCAGCAGGGCAAGGTAGGAATGTCAACAAAACTAATCACTTGTTTAACACAGCACATCAGGCTACATGGTCGCTAAAGGTTCCTTCCTTCTTGACTCAAAATCAGTGAATGTTCAGGTTAAACAATACAAACAGCAAGCAAAGTTATTTTAGAAGTAGAAAAAAGCTTCAAGAACAAATCTTTCAAAGCATAGTGGTGACCCTCTGGCTTTCTGTGGCATATCACACTGTAGCCAAAACAGCATAGGACTAACAAAAAAGTTGAAGTCAGAGTTTGTACCTGTCATGACTGCAAAATTTGGCTTAGTGTCTCTGATGCCAGTGAAGCTTTGCTGAATGTCCTCTTGAACCATCAAATAGGCTAAAGCAGCATTCCTCAGCAATTTTATTCTCTTCTGTCTTGTTTACTTCTTGGCCATTGCATATGATTTTGACCTATGTAATTTCACGTCTTTTCCAAGAGTTATTCTATCTTCAGCTAAGAAAGTCTTGTCGTTTGCATGTATCTTCCATGGTCCATGCCTAAACAGGTTACTTCTGACACACAACTGCCAGCGGTTTTCACTTTATGATCCCACAATACCTTCACAGTGTTGGTGTGTTGGTTTTGCGTGGCAAGGTT